GGGAGGGAGGGGGGGCAGGCAGACAGTGTTTGTGTTGCACTGGTGAAATAAATCCTGCAGTAATCCTAAAATCCTCCAGAAATGTTGGTGGAGATTTGAAAAAGATGTTATGTTGCTATAGAAATGTTAGAAGTGATTTCAAAACGGATGAGCCAGTTAGTCAACGTGTTTAGTCTGTTTTTCACCTACTTTAGAAAAACATATATAAGTGTGAACCAATTCTATCAAGCCTTGTGTGAAATACAACTAGTCGGGGGAAGAATTAAAATGCCCCAGGACAGTTTACTCCATTACTGCTTCAAATCAGTCAAAAACACTCAATTCTTACTTTTATAGGCCTACTGACATTTTTTTCAGTTATACAATTATTTCATATTGTTAGAATTCAGGCATGGAAACAGTTTCCACAAGTACCATATTTGAGAGCAGTTCTGAGGTCTTTAACTTCTGCAGTCAGATTTAGTCAAATCAAGTGGAGATTTTCCAGTTTCTGTTAAAGCTGCAGTAGGTAATTTTTATAAGAGTAACTTTTTGTCATATTTGCTGAAGATTTCACTATATCCTGACAGTAGTACATAACACAGATGATCAGTGAAAAAGTCAGGTTCCTCTGGCTTGTTGTAGCGCTCCTAATGGCATTAGTAAGAATCCACCGGGCCTGAATGAAAGCAACCAATCAGAGCCAAGAAAGATAGATATCTTTGCTTTGTCGAACTCAGTCTGCTTAAGACTCATATTAGCTTTAGAAAAACTAGAGTATTGTTTTAAGGCAAACTAGGAAAAATGTGAAGCTATTCGTTACACTACACTCTACTCCACTGCAGTTATGTGGCAACTTGAAAACTTACTACAAAGTTACTAGCTACTTTGCAAATTCATATTTTTCACACAAAACATATGATCAGTCTTTAAAATATGATGCATTTTTATAGAGTCAGCTACACAGCAGTTAGTACAAGTGGTTAAAATTATGCTGCTTGTGTTAATGGATCAATAATGATTGAACATTGTAGCTACAGTAAAAAACATTCTGTATAATCTTTATTTTTGTTCTTTTAAAACTAGGTACATTTTGCTCAAAATACTTCAACGGAAAGTGCATAATCAACATTTCTGTAGCAATGTATCAAATGAAAATGTTAAATGGTTTGTTTTTAGTTATGAACCTACAGAGAATTATAACCTGAATCTGCAGTTCCCCTCTGCTTTACAGAGATTAATAGTGAGTGTCCGCACATTGTTTAGCTGTCTGTAAGCACCAAACAGCAGACAGACACGGGTAGCAACTAGCTGGCATTTAGCAGCTAAAGAGCCAGATATTTCCCTCAGGAGTTGGTGGAGACCAAAAACGGAGCTAAAGTCAATATTGGACTTACATTCATCAGACTCCAAATACTTGATGTGTCTCTATAACTGCTAAAAGTAGTGATGTTTGTTAACAAATCAACTTATGTTAACAAATTAAATGTAGTTAAAGTTTTAGTATACGTGTTTATTACTACTTTTACTGTGTAGGATTTAGTGGCATCTAGCGGTTTAGTTGCAGATTTCTATAAATCACCTCACCCTCCCTTCCAAGCATGTAGGATAAACTATGGTGGCCACGAAAAAGTCGTATCCAGAGCCAGTGTTTGTCTGTCTGGGCTACTGTAGACACAGAGCTGCAGATATTCTCATTCTCAGGTAACAAAAACACAATAATTCCTCGAATGGCCACTTGAGAACTGAGTCAATCTCTTTAAGGTCCCGTATTAAAACTTTACAGCAGAAATAAACATGTTTACAGCCTGGTACAAAAACTGTTTTGCTGTACGGGGGTGAATTCTTATAAATGATCAAGGTTTAAAGCATAATTAAGGGCATGGCCGCTTTGAGTGACAACGACTGCATGCCTTTTAGGTGAGCTAGTTTGCTTTCTGGCTCTCGGGGACACTAAATGGAACTGTGCCCATTTTCAATGAAATTTGTTGTATCTGCGCTTTTACTGGTATGACGAGAAATCGCTTGGTGTGAAAAAGGCCTATGAGATACAAAACAGCATTGGCCAGACTATAGCTGTGTTATGAAATATATCTGAACAGACAGAGTTTTCTTTTTACTCACACTCACACACACACAGACACAGAGGCAAACAATTTAAATTTATAGCACCTCAGCCGAGACATATTGGCACTTGCAACATAATGAGGAATGAATGTTAGATTATGCAATGAACGGGCGGATAAAAACACGCCTCTGAAATGTAGCACAGCTCCTTTCTTTCTAGTAAACACACCTAGAGACACACACACGCACGATTAGACTCCCAGGGGACTTTTATAATCACCCACACAGATCTTAATTAAACTACGAACAAGAACCTGCAGGAAGGTGTGTGTGTGTGTGTGTGTGTGTGTACATTCTCATGCAGTGTTTCTCTGTCTTGACAAGCTTTGTTGTTTGTTTTGTTGGTTGGTGTTTGTGAGGCCGTCTGTTTGTGTACAGACAATAGTGAAATGTATGTTTGGATCGAAAATCCCCTGAGACCAAAAGGAGAGAGAGAATAAAGCACATACACACACATACACATATACTAACAAAGCAGAAGTGAGGAGGCGTTTCATCAGTGTTTCTAATGTGTAGTGTGTCCATGTAAGAGTCACATAAAGGAGATGCATGCTATTCTTTAATATGTATAAAACTAAACATGTATTTGTCCCACTTGTGGTGCAATCTGAGCAGGCTGAAGGGCTAAATGTTTTAATCATTACTTTTCATCCTAACAAGGGTTTTAGGAACAAGGCCTCAGGCTACAGCATATGCTCTGAATCCTTTTTATGAAAAGAATCACTCCCTTTATGACACCCGTGTCATTGATTTCTACCAAACGGTCTCCCATTCAGATTAGGATGACACACACACACACACACACTGAGCGCACTACTTTACTGTGTTTGTTGCAGGCTAAACGGTGCGTGAGTGATTAACAACAGTAGCTGGTGTGCAGTAAAAGGTTCATCAATTAATCAGATCATCTGTGGTTGCCATGGCGAGTGGTTCTGACATGCAGTCTGGTCTCATCTTCACGCAGCACACTGAGCACGGCTAACTTTAGTCCGTATCGTCTTGTTTTAAAGTCTCACATGTCGAGTAAAGTGCAACGTTAAGTTTAGGTAGACTTCTTTTAGACTTTTTTTAAAATGAAGTTTGAGTTCCAACTTTAGTTTGCTTAGTTAATTTTGGTTTTAGTCTAACTAACTTAAGTTTGGTTTCGTTTAGCATAAGTGTGGTGTAGTTTAGATTGACTTCTGTTTTATTTTTTTATTTGGAGTTAAGTGTAAATGAACGGTTGTTCAGTCTGGTTTATGTATAGTCTGATCTCTTCTATTTGCACTTGCAAATGTAACTGTTGTTGAGTCTCTAAAAGCCAGAAGAAGTGAATGAAAAGATGTCGAGCAGCAGCAGTCTCATCAAATCAAGGCCATGAATAATTTTCATTGTTCACTTGTTTAGAGCAGAGCTGCAGGGCTTCCTTGGTAGAACTAGACTGAAGGACAACTTTCTGTGTTTTGTGAAATTTCATATCATCTAACTCCTACTGCCTGGCTCATAACAGTCTGTCTATAAAAGTATAATTCTAGTATTAATAAAAAAAAAACATTAGTACATAATCATCAACAGATCTTAAGTCAGCTCAGTTGATACTGTATTCTAGGTGTGGAGGATCTCTGTAAATGACCAAACCACAGACCTCTTTTTCTCTTCTAAACAGATGATGTCATCTGTAAAAAATAATTTGGCTTAAACATTTTAACTTAGCGTGCTCTGACCCATGTACTCCTGAACAGTTTTTTTTCTCTCTAAATGTACTGTAAGTCAAGTGTAAATAGAGCAAACGATGTTTAGTGTCTGTGTCAATGATGGATTAGTGCACAGAAAGTCCGGTAGATTTCCTGCTAATGTTTTCCAGGCTGAGGCCTTTGGACCAGCACTGGCACGTGGGAGGCTGAGTGTCTGAGTGGCCCCTCATCTACAGTCCATTAGTTATAGTGAAAATCCACTTAGTCAGAGAACTTCGAACTTCATATTGTTACAATCAGGTGAAAAACCCAGTCTCATCGTGTTCTCAGATTTTTGCCCACACTAATGAAATTAATGTCACCTACAGGATCAATAGCAAACATTTTGATGAAATTTCATTTGTCCAGTGGGGTTTATGACCAAATAAGTGTAAGTAAAATAATTATATAGTGCTTTTCACAGACATAAGTGTTTTACAGAGGCAATGTACAACAAATATACTGCCCAATAACTTAAGTAAGTACAACCTCACACATCCACAGTGGTTTCCTCTAATCTTATACTCACTCACATACACAAGTGTGCATTTTGCATTTTTGTTCTGTTTTGTTAATTTTGTCTCCTTTGTCCAATCTATGGCTTTTAGGACACTGAATGTACACTACATGCTACTTAATAATAAAATGTATTATTTGATTTATTTATCAAGAAAAGAATTGCCACGTATTCACTGTTTTCTGCTTCTCATATTGACAGGATTTGCTGCTTTTGTCTGTTTTATACAATTGTGAATAAATGTCTGTGGGTTTTGGACAGTTGATCAGACAAAGCAAGTTAATTAAAGACATCACCTTGGACGCTGGGCCCTTTTTTACAGTTTTTTGATGTGATTTAGACATAATCATTAAATTATTAATCAATAATGAAAACAAGGTTTTGTCTTTAGTGTTTCCATTTAAAAAACGAATGGAAACAACTGAAAAAATCAGATAGAAAAGGGGCAGTACATAGGTTAATCCCTCAACTTTAGTTTAAACTGTAAAATATACCAAAGCAGGGGCACTGTTATACCTGATATCAAACAAGGACAAAGTTTAAGTACCCAAGAAATAAA